TTACAAGAATTTAAGAAAGAAAAGCAGGACAGAGCCAGCATGGGACTCCCCTCCCAGTACCTGTGCACCTTCAACTTCCTTACCCTGTCTCCCTGGTTAATGTTATTCACAGAGAACCAATATACGTAGCTCTTAGCTCTGTAGAAAATTGTGAGGAGAGATGAAGAGGGAATTTGTACTTCTGGAAGAAAAAAATGAGAATATCAGTAGAAAACATTCTTACTTCTGYAGTTGTAAGAGCTTTCCTGACACTCCATGTTAAAACCCAGCGCTGCAGTCAGGACTCCAGACTCTAAGATTCAGTAATGAGTGAAAGCAAACTAATATGGCAAGAAAATTAGTACTGCAGCTTGTACAGAGAAACTTGCATTATGGTTCTTGAATTTTGTGGCAAACAGTTGTTTGCTCATTCAAAATTATCCATGGCATAGCAGAGAGTAAGAGGATAAGAGATCTGCAGTCTGTACTTGATGGATGCATCCAGAGCTGTTCCCAGCTCCAGAATCCCACACTGAGTCCTTCCCTTTGCCTTTTGAGTAAACCTGGGGTTCATGTCAGGGATGGAGGGGAAGTGGYGAGGCCAATCAGGCCAGATGGTCTGTGACACAGGGGAAAAGCAAAGCTCTTTACATTCACAGTTTAACGCTGAAAATTTGCTTAAAATAAGAGCAAAACTGGTGCAAAATGTTCACAACTAATCCACTACTGAGCCAGACTTCAATAGAACCACGGGATTGTCTRGATCAGTATCAAATTCACAGAGTAGTGCTGGAGATCAGAGGCTCTGTGTGGGTAGAAGACCAAAAGTGGGTTTGACCCACAATCAGTAGCACAAGCACAGAAGAACTTTCCTTTCAACAGTTTTGCATAAATTCATTCAGTGACAAATATGTCAGTTGAGTAAGTGAGCCTTTATTAGACTTGAATTTAACAGCAAATCTGGGAAATCCTCCCGAAGCAACTATGGCTTTRGAATCCCAGATTTGCACTTCTAATTAAAGCACTGTCAGTTTAGGTGTAATTCTCCATAAGGAATGGATTTGGGGAGGGGGAAGGGAGAAGTGAGAGAGAACTGAGATGGTGCTTGAACAGTTTTCCAATGCAGTTCACTCTGTGTATTTTCTGATGATATTGTGAATWTTTTTTTGCAAAAATGTATTGTTCTCTTCTAATAGATGACAAAGCAGAGGCAAACTCCTGCCAGCTTTTCCTACCTTCCGTGAGGGATAAGATCAAAGAGAAAATTGTTTGATCAAGGATTGCATTTTGTTTTAAGAAATGAGATTATAGCTGCATGATTTTCTATTTCTGTACCAATCCATCAATGCTAGGGCTAAAACATTARAACAAATCTCTTCATGGAAACAAAGGGAAATTGCAATTCCTTTCTGTTTTCTGCTGGCRAAATGCAGTTGTTTTTGCAAGGAAAGGTTTAGAAAGAGTCATCTAAGAAAATCAAAATTAWTATTTTCAGCTTGGTCATCTGCAGTATTTTCATCAGGCAGATTTAAAATAGCACATTTCAGAATTATCTTTTAAATTATGCATGTGGTAGGTAAGGATTTAATGTATTATAAAAGCTGAAAGAAAATTATTTGTAATGAGAAAGCAGAAACAAAATTGTTTACCATGTTAAAATTACACCATTTAGCCTTTCAGAAATTAAACTAWAAGTAATAGCAAAAGCCAAAGCTTGGACAGCCCCAAAACAAMCATTTTCAGAGTGCTACTTTTAGAGGACATTTACAACCCTTATCTTTGCATTCCAAATGAGAATATTAAGGTTTTATTTACAATTTCAGAGTTTTCCACGGTCCTGAAATCTTGATTCCCAGCCAGCTCTAATTTTAAGTAGATTGTGCGCTGTGGATAATGAGGGTAGAGTATTYACTACTTACTCCTGCAAGGGTAATSATGGAAAGGAGCCTCCTGTTCTTGCTGCTGTTCTGTGAGGGACAGGCAGGATCCCAAGACAGGGAGAGAAGCAGGAATATGTGTGTTATTTTATACAGCACAGGCAAGGACAGAAGGAAAAAACAAGATATCTTAATTTGGATTGTGTAGGAAAGAAGAGTCTAGGTGCAGAAGGAATAACACAGGTTGACAAAGGTACAGTTTAGCCTATCTAGATATTTTACCCCTTTCTGCACCCCAGAATTAGCCATTCATTACAGCTTCTTACACTGTTAGCCTTGCTTATTTTAGCCTAGATTGCCTAGATTAGCCAAAAAAAGAGATTTTTTTTAGACCCTGTTATTTGCAAGGATTACTATGATAATGAACATGAATAAATCCAGAGGTCAAGTAGACAAATCCAAATATCTGAACCTTAGCACACCTTTAAAGCACTACCCAGGGYGCCCTGTCTCACCTTAGCCCTGCARAGGGCTGAKTTCCTGACTCSTTTCCACTCAYAAAGGAGCAGATTCCTTCATTTTATGCTTGAGCAGGTACAGGGACACGTCCTCATGCAAGAGGATTTAAACCCYATAGCACCCATTAGTGAAGAGAAAAGAACTTGAGCCAGGGTTCAAGCTGCAGAACATTTGTTAATCAGCTGCAAGGTCATTTTCTGTTACCCAGCTCCAGAGTGTGACACTGAAAACCTCACAGTGACTTCAAGGATGAGCTCTGTCTATCCTCTGAGACTGCTCTTGCTGGAGCATAAACATAATTCTAAGTCCCACTGGTTTTTGACCAGATTTTTAGCTTCTTATTGTTGGAGTTACTCCTAGAAATCAGACATTGGCACTTTCCAAATGTTTCCTGTGATGGAGGCACTGCTGTTGTTCTGCTTGGTGTGCAGAAGCAGCAGAACCAGGTGCTGGCAGATATCTTCTGCCCAAGCACTTGCCATGGTAAGGAGTAACAGACTCAGACCMTCAACAGAAAAGAGAATTCCAACTTGCTCTGTTCAGCCTGTGTTCACTGCTCTTGAGCCACAGGGGTGTCACATGGGGATCATATCTGTTCCTGTGATGTTTATCATGACTATTGCTACATCCTTTATTGAATTTCTCTGCCCTTCCCACCCTCCATCCAGGCCAGCTCTCCCTTGTGCTGAATGCTGCACAGTCAGGGAGCAAAAGGACCCTGTCCTGCAGATCCCATGTGCTGAGTGTTTTCTCTGCTGTGCCTTCCAGCAGTTTTGTTTCACAGCTTCCAGCTCCACCTCAACCCAGCAATGAGGGCAAACATTGTGTCTGCAGCAGTGTCTGCAGCAAAACATCACCCACATGAGCCCCCACCACGCAAGCTGCTGGCCTGCTGTCCTTTCCTCCAGAGTCTGGGAGAGTGAGCACACCCCTCCCCGTGCCATGGGGAGGAATGAGCAGCACCAGCAGCACAGACAGTCCATGATGGACACACGAATCCTGCCTGCATCCTTTCATCTCTCAGGGGAAAGGAACAGCCCTTTCTCCCTCTTCTCCCAGCCCTCCCTGTTACCTTCCAGGCTCAATACACCCCAGTGCCTTTCCCAGGCTGTCAGTGCCAGGTGTGAAGGTGGCATAAAACACCTGCAAACTGAGGGCAGGCAGCCCCTGGATTAGCTGGTGGTGAATACCACCAGAATGTCGAGGGTCTGAGGCAGAAATCCGGCTGACTGTCACTGAAGGGATGGAAATGAGTCTCAGAAATATCCCATCTTCATCAGGAAGGAAAGGCRGTGTAATTTGCAGCTGGAGATGAATGTGATTATTTGCCATGCAAATGGATTATGCCAGCTCAAAGTGGCCTTCATCAGCAGAGATTGTTGTRTTTGACATTAGCTGGTTACTTTTGTTTTATGCCTCTGTGCCTTTTCTGAGTGCTTCCTTCCCTGAGCACACATCATCCAGRCTAATTTTCTTCCTCTTCCTCATCAATCTGAAGATGTGTGAGCTGAATCTATAGCTGCCTCCCTCCCCAACCCCTCTCCAAAGACGAAACAAATGGTAAAGCTGTATGTATCCACAGTCCTGCAGGCTGAGATTTCTCTGCAGATGGGAAACAAGATGGTCACATTTATCTCACATAACTTTAGCCCTGGACTGGGACATCTCTGTTACCATCCCATAAATCATATTTCTGTGGAGTGATTCAAATCAGCAGAAAGACAATGCTGAAACATGAACCCCCATGGAGGAATAAGTGGTGTTTTTCATGGGCAGGTCCTCCTCMGTCAGGCTGTCTGGCTTTATCAAACAGCATTGTATGTTCCCTTCTGCCTTGGACAGTGCTCTGMATCTAGAGAAGGAGCATATAAATAATTTAGACAGAATGCCTGAATCCTGACATCATTCTAAAATAATCTCCCACTCTTACAAAATTATTTGAAAAGAGTTTAATATTAATCAGTGCCTGCTTGACTTATTTGCCTCTGTAGCTACAGTTAATTGGATGTTTGATTGCAGTACAAAACACCTAGATTTTAAAGCATTATTATGAACATCTTGTCTAACCATCTGCTGAATACAAAAGGGAGAATGTCAGTAGGCAAATTATTCATTAAGACCGTAACTCCTCTCTGAGCTTCAATGTGCCTTAGAGAAAAAACTGAGGGGTTGTTTTTTTAAACTTCAGGTGATGGTGGAGCTGACCAAAAGATCACAGCTGGGCTGTGTGCCTGCTCTGGTTCCATGCTGGTGATCCTTCCTGCCAGGGGTACATGGAACAACAAACCTTCACAGAAACATTGTTAAAAGGCATTGCCCCCTACCCAGCTGAATTTTCTCATAATTATCTCTGTTTTTTTTTTATTAATATTATACTCCAAAAGGAATAGAAAATCAAAGCAATTTCTCTCCATTTATTTTTTTCACAGTGAATTTTTTCACCCCCCACTCTAATTACATTGACACCTTTAAAAGTTAATTAAGCACTGAGACAAACTTTTGGCTTCCTTGGACTGGAGAGCGTGACTTTGGGTCAATGGCCATGCAAAGGATGAGCCTGCGAGAGCAAGCTGCACCTTTCAGACCCTGCCCCTGCTCCTGCCTGACTCTCCTCTCTGTGCCCAGGTCTCTCTCCGGCCGCATAGTCGGTGGCGTCTGGTGGTTCTTCACCTTGATCATCATATCCTCCTACACAGCTAACCTGGCTGCCTTCCTCACCGTGGAGAGGATGGTGTCTCCCATCGAGAGCGCAGAGGACTTGGCCAAGCAGACAGAAATCGCCTACGGGACCCTGGAGGCTGGCTCCACTAAAGAATTTTTTAGGGTAAAAAGGAAACTTTAAARCAAATGTTTTTCTTAGCTTCTTGTTTGACAAGTCCTGCAGGTCCATCCTCTCTCATCCTCAGCTCAGGTCTGGTTTTTTCCTTTTGCTTCCCCTCACCATGTTACAGCCTGCCGGAAGATTGGCAGTGACTCCAGTGCATGTGCTATTCTGTAGTTGTGAACACAAATATGGAATATCCGTGCACTTCTCCACGTTACTGAGGAGCTCCTCTGAGCAACTCCAAATGAAACCGTCTCCAGATTTCCAGCTTGGTTTGCCCTTGGTTTGATCCACAAAATCACTCCATMCACAAACAYRGGCCAGAAAATCAGGGATTKGTCTGGGCCTGGTGCAGAAATGGCMATGTCCTGTTACCCCTTTAGGCTTYCTTGGCCCATTTGGTTGTGGGTGTGTGCTCAGCCCAAGCTGGAAATCYCAGGGGGCACCCAAACCTCTGTTAACGTTCTGTTGGGTTTCTGCTGTCCTACGCAGCGCTCCAAAATAGCAGTGTTTGAGAAGATGTGGACGTACATGAAGTCAGCCGAGCCCTCCGTTTTTGTGAGGACGACGGAAGAGGGGATGATCCGGGTGAGGAAGTCCAAAGGGAAGTATGCATACCTGTTGGAGTCCACCATGAACGAGTACATCGAGCAGMGGAAGCCCTGYGACACCATGAAGGTGGGAGGTAACTTGGACTCCAAAGGCTATGGTATTGCAACGCCAAAGGGGTCTGCGCTCAGGTAAGTAGCTCGGATTTGCTTCCTTTTGCCAAAACACCCAGCAGATCAATGTATGCACACAGTTCAATCTCCATTGCCATGTTAAACACGAGAGCYTGGGGCAAGGAGCTGGGGGAGGTGGAGGAAAAGAGGGGGTGACCACTCAGCGGGGAAGTAAAACGCACTGCTCCCACTAAACAGCAAAGGGAGTGTCTAATCCTTCAAGCCCTGCATTTGGAAACTGGATCCTGGCTGATCCACCTGCTATGAATGTGTCTGCTGTATGAGGTGATGGCAGGGGGCTGCTGTGGTGTAACCATTGGTTTCACAGAGCTTTATCCAGAAGGGATGTTCATCCTGTGCCATGTGAACTGCACAGCTTTGCAGGGTAYGGGATTACCCCGGCTTGGATCCATGCTTGCAGAGGGAGTTCTCATGGGGAAAGCATTTTGGTGTTTCCTAAAATGAAATGCTGGTTGGAAGAGGTGGGAAGTCCATTTTGAAAAGCCCTGCAAAGGGTGACCTCTTTCATTCACTGAGTCAGTTCAGATCCCACCAAGCACCAAATTTATAGCAAGTCCAAGGGGGTACAAATACTGCATTTCTGAGCCCAAACCTGCAGCTGCCACATGCCTTTGCCTACTGGCCTGTGAAATATCGTCAGAGACCTCCCTTTAAAAAGAAGAACTGTTTAAGAACACAGACCCAGGCCTGAGTCARTAGCAGAGCTTGGGCACTGCACACAACCACACTGCTGAACATGACTGTGAAAATTGGCCTATTCAGAACAGAATTACCATAGTCCGCAGACTGTTGTTGTGATGGACATGTCAGAAGGGTGGTTCCTTTTGGCAGCAACCATGTCAATTCCTCATGAGGAACATAAGTTGTAATGGTTTCGTAAATTCTCAGGATCTGTAACTGTAAGTAATCATAATGATGCTCCAACATGTTTAGTTAATTTTTGAGCTATTTATTAACAAAAACTTGTTGACCAGAAGCATATGTGTGACCTTACACTTGTTTGCTAACATTACCCAATGCAGAGACATTTAATCCATGATCTCTGGATTRCCAGAAACCAGATTATTGCCAGATGAGCATTTACAGAAGGATCTGTCTGCTCACAACAGTGCCCAAAGTATCAAAGGTGCACCAACTGGTAGTGGGTTAGACCCAAGGATTTGGATTACCACATTTCTCAAGTCAGCTCACATTTGATTCAGCACTCCTCACATCAGCAATATCTTCAGAAAAACTGGTGTGACCACTGCAGGTGACAATTTGCACCTCCAGAGCACTGGGTGCAGAAGGCAGCTCTCACATCCGGTGCAGTTCAGGCTCTGAAATGACTCAGGTTCCTCCAACCAAAAGTGGACAAATTCTCATGGCTTTGAGATGCTTTCTGTGGCACACTCTCCAGAGTTTGTTTTCAGACTTGGGAATATGGAAATTAGGATGAAGGGCTGATTCTATTTAATTAATTATTTTTATAAGCATCAATCTTGCATCCTAATTTTGATATTATAAAAAAAAACAAACAAAAAGGAACATCCTACCTGTCTTGTAATTTCTGGCATGTGAAGGAGCCATTTTTCATGCTTCCAAGAAAAACAAACCACAAGGAAGAAAATTGCATCAATCATTTTACTTTTGCAACTCCAAACATCCCTCTGTAGGCATGACTCCAAAAATTCCTAACATTTCTCTCTGTTTCCTCTTTTTCATCCTGGTTTGCATGTAAACCAAATTTCTTATGGTTCTAATGGCAAAGGAGGAATGCTTGATTTTCCATCCGATGGTGTTTCTTTGGAATAGTTCCTGTCCGTTTTCTGTCCCATCATGTCTGTTTTGTTCCTGTTTTAATTGTTTTGATCTCAGTAGCTCCCTACAGCCATCGTGTAGTGTCTGTTTTCCCCCTGGGGCCCTGCACGTGAGAGGTTGCCCTGAGAGAGGTGACGTTCATGGGGCGTCTGTCCAGCACGTCAGCCTGTCTCTCACTCAGTCTCCATCCTCACTCACTCCCATCCACAGAGCAAAAGCTCTGAGCCAGGATTGCAGGAGGTTTATGACACGGGCCTGTCGTGTATCAGGTGTGTTTTAGAAGTTGGGCTTTGTAGCCAGACCAGTTTTCCTGCATTTAGGATAGCTGGATAGGAAAGAATCCGAGAGATACCACAGAAGCATTCACCGTGTATTTTTTTGCTTCTACATGGGCACACAATGCCAGGATGCTGCCACAGATGAGTGAAAACAAGATTGGAAATCCAGAAATAATTCTACAGTAGGTGCAAACAACCCTTTCAGAACATCAGTTTGGTCTCTTGGACTGCTGTAAGAAGTTGCTTCTTCCTCCTAGGTGAATCTGGCTTTGAATATCTTTTGGCCTCCAGATGTTAAAATTTAGTTGTTTAGGCATTTCTGAGAAGGGCAGTGATGGGAGGGCAGGAATTGCACCTCCCAAGACCAGCGAGTTCAAGCTGTGATCCTGCCTGTCACTCTGCTGCAAAACACACCCATTTACCCAGCAGATCTTCTCCACTGTTGGAGAAGTGATCCTAAAGAGGGGAAAAAAAGCCAAATTATCCAAAACTGGAGAGAAAACCCARCAAATTCTCTGTAAGTCTGGGCTCAGGGAATAGAGAGGTTTTTGAGATGGCAGTCTGTGAGAGTAAGTTCTTCAGAGCAGCATTTTGACATTGAAGTTCCATAAAACAGAAGTCAGCTTTTTTAGGGTCTGTGAGTAAATACAAAATGTTCCCTGTTAAAAACCCACCTTCATTCAGGACCCCAGACTTTTCAGTCTTTCACCAAAACACAGTGAAGATGTAGTACAGCCTGTTCTGTGTGCTCCCCAGGAGCTGGAGTGACAATTAACTGAAATGAAGCTTCCTGGGAAAGAAAACACATAATGTTCAGCACATGGCCCCAGAAATCATATGGCTGATAATGGAAACTGCAATACATGTACTTTGTTAGCACCTTGTACCCACATAGAAGCTGCAATGTATTTTGGCTCATTAGTTAACTAATTTTTCACAGATGGTTCAGGCATCAGAGTGCTAAGTAACCTGTATTSTGTTTTAGAAGACAGAATGATTGTGATTTACTTAATGTTAAATTCTTTCTGGGTCTACACTCACATGTTCACATTTGCTTTAAATGCAACCAAAGTCAGGCTCTGACCWMAGCACTGTTAGAGYTGAAAAGGGAAAATATTCAGCCACYTTCAAATCTACACTTTCGCCTTCTCTTGGACTGGTAGCAAGCTTGAYTGCATGTGGATTTTGCTTTTTGAAGGCTGGATTCTGCCTGAAGGAGGCTCCCAGTCTTTGTGAAGGCTTCAGTGCTCGGATGGAATCCCAACAGGCAGAGCCGTGGARGGCTCGTGGAGGTCAGCACATTCCTCTTGCTCACAGTCAGGCTCATTTTGGAATTGCAATACAGGAAAACAGCCCCCTTGGCGAGGGTTTCTTGGCGTGGCACAGAGCACAGATTCTGAGATGGGAGCTGCAAGGTCCTTGGCCTTTTTRAGGACCTGCTTTATTGACATTCAGGGTGWGTTGGTGTAAGGCTCAGCCCTCCACCTCATCCATGATTTTTAAAGCCCCGTCATGTTCGTGTTTCGCTGTGCTTAGCTTTGTATCTGTGTTTGAAGCAATGTCAACACCAAAATTGCACCCAGAAATGAACTGTGCCCATGTGCAGAGCCTGCAAAACTCACCACTGCACATCCTGAGCCCAGGGGCTCCCCCAGATGTTCCCCACTGGCACAGGGACACGTGAACAGGTCT